CTTACGCTAAGATATCACCTCAAAGCATCAGGAGGAATATATCCTGTAATCACGATAGCTGATGTTGGTTTCAGAGGTTGTAATGGAACAGGTTTTGAAGCATTCTAGAATATAATGTGTGCATATATTTAGTTAGAAAAATACATTATATAAAAAAATTTATTATTAAAATAAAATAAATAAATTACCAGAGAAAATTATATTGTTAAAACATTCCATATAAGAATAAATATAAATCATATTAATTAATTAATATTTTTATTTAGTGCAATCACCAGAATATAGAGATAAGATTTTAAAATAATAAACTGCATTCATTTTAAGTATTTTTAATGTATTTTTATTGCATTACGGAAAATCATTAATCTAATACTATTTAATCATTTATATAATTATTTACTCTGAGAATGATGACCGATGAAATGTATTATTAATAAAATAATTTTTTTTATTAAAGATATTTAGATCATAAATAAAGATAAAAGAAAAATTAGAAAAAGGATAGTAATACGATAGTATAAGTGCTTATAAAACAGTACATATAAACTAGTCAGAGTCCGGATACGAATCTTCGACATTAGTCGCCATCGGGGTTATTTTACTATTTGTGTAAATATTCATCTTCATTTTCTTAATATAAGATAAGTATTCACAATTATTTGAATCTAAATGAAGAGAAAGACAGAATTAAAAAAATATTTTATTATTATATCTTATATTATATCTTAATATCTAACTTAAAGCTATATTTATTTCATAATTTTTAATATAAAAAATATAATTTTTATAAATATAATCTTCTTTCAATTTATAATAAATTGTATTTTAATATTTTTTATAAGATTTAGATAAATTAAGTTTTAGATTAAAAAAAATTAAAATAGAAAAAAAATTAATAGATACTTATATTTAAAACTTATATTTTAAACTTATAATTTAAAATTAGCATAATCAATATAATTATAGTTATTAATTAATTTTATAGAATATTTCAATTCATAACTTTTTCTTAATGTAATGAGATTTATTATAATATTTATATATATATCTAAATTTAAAAAATAAGAAAATATTTTAAACATTTGTAATGTAACGAATTTAAAATATATTTTTATATTTAATATCATATATACATAATAGGTTATAAATAAAAATTCAATCTTTTTTATATTATCTATGTTTTAATATTTAAATATAATTACAAAAAAAAATAATAATATATTCGCAATACATTTATTATATTTACCTAATTGAATATATAATGTAATATAATTCATCACAAGCTATTTATAACTCAAATTAATAAACAGAACTGATAGAAATTTATTTTATATGAAATAATATAAAGCAGATATTTGTTTTGTTAATTGATGAACATTAAATTGGTCAGAATTAATTATTAATTATATTTAAAGCAATGTAAATTTGGCTTGATTAAAACTTCACTTATTTCTCTATATACTATACAATTAACTTCTTCCATTATTGAATGATGGACTCAGTTTTATAACCTATTCTTTTGAAAGAATAGGTAAGATATGTATATTTTATTCAATTGGTAAATCTAGATTTCTATTATCTATGACTTAATTATATTATCGTCCAATACTCACTAATGGTACTGTTTCTTCATCGACAAACGAAAATTCACGAAGAGCATTTTCTTTTGTTTGTATGAAAATTTCAACTTGATGTACAGACATATTCCTTTAATAAATTTCAAGGATGATTTATTGAAACGCCTCGTTTTAAGCCGCACTTCTAGTGTAATAGCGATATCTTTATTTAGTTTTTTGATTTATTCACAATATATTTCATTCGATAAAAAGCAATTTTATTTAAAAAAAACAATTTATTTTTTTTATTGAAAAACTTCGATTCATTTTTATGAAGTTTAAAGTTTTTTAATATTAATTTTTCTTAGAATATAATCATTAAAAAATAAAAAAAAATAATGTATTTATAACATATTTTATTATGTAGAATTAAAATATTTTTTCTTTAAATATAATAATTTTTTCAAAACTTAAAAATAAGCATTATATTAATATTTGTAAATTTTTTTATATTGCAAATGTATAGATAT